TAGTGATGCTAACGGAGTGTGAACTCAGCTGTACGCCAAAATGTAAACACCAAGTATCTGAATAATAATAATAATAATAACAATAATAATAACATAATATAGTACTCTATTCTTCTCAGAGCAATATAAACTAATATGATTTGATTTGAGACAGCTTGTGATCAACGTCAATTCAATTCAGGTGCATTTCCACTTCATAGGGTTTCACTTCCGAGATCATTCCATCACGTTCAATAACACTCAAAATTGACCTTGTCACAAGTGGTATTGATCCCAAAATATTCGTAATCACAGAGGGAATTGTTAATTCTGTTTAGGAGGAACCCATTGCTTTCAATACAAACGAGGATAATGACCATGTGTACCACCTTGTGTTTAAATCAAGCCAAGCATTATTTTGAGATTAACCATAAACATCGTCCACAAAAAATTACTCCATTGTGAAGGTAGTAAACGCTGTATTTTGTTCATCTCAAAACTACGTGTCTTCGTGTACGGGGCAATCGAATAGCGGTCGAATGTTCTCCATTTTTATTGGTCTTAAGTACACAGCTGGCATTGTACAAGCCACACTGAAAGCCTGAGTCCGTCACTTCGCATTCCCAAAAGATCGATTTAATTAAGGTTCGTTCCGAGAAAAAGAAAAGAAATGCATAATCTCGCCCGTAAGATTGCGTTTGCTCCAGTTCTGTGCAGAATCTGATCATCGTGCGGTTTTGTGCTCTATTTGTATGCGTAAGTGATACATTGCACAGCGGTCAAGTGCGCAGTAAAAACTCCTGTACGTATAGTACCATCTACTATCATCATCCTTATCATCTTAAAGTGGAACTTGAACTTCATCATGCATACGAAGTAAATGAGAACGTGTAAGGTAGTCAGGGATTGGGCTTATTTTCAGGAAGTAGGAAAGAAGTGAAACCTCTATAGTATGATAATATTTAACAGAAATTTTTTTAAATAAACGGGTTGAAATCGACATACACACTCATTTCCCCACACTATGTATAGACGCAAACCAAAAGGTGAGAACGATAGGTAGATCCTGGTGACAATTCACAAGAAGCCAAGTGCGGGAACCGTTGTGGTAAAAAAGAAAGTTAACAAAAACAAACAAACTAGCACCTGAAAAGATGTAATGAACCGTGACTCAAGAGCACCCCAGTTTGTTGACAAATCACCGGTTTTGATATGAGGAACAGGTTATCTACTGGTTTCACACGATCACGTACCATAAACCGATTATGAAGTTGCGTTTTGGTTCCCTCCAGACCGCCCACATTAGCCCACGTGACATCCGGGATTGTGACAAACTCTGCGGTGTTCTTGACTGCTGGCACCACGACTGTGAGGCATTCGTCCACCAAGTCACGTGTGACCCGAAGTGGACGGGGACATTTATCCTGTATGACAAACGGAAGAGGAGAGTGGAGTGAATAAAAGCGGCCCGTTGAAGAATCAAGTGGATAACTGTGACACGGATTGCTGATACACATGCACGTCACCGATCTTCATCATGCGTTAAAAGCAACGTCCGTAGGATGAGTTTACAAATAATCTTGACTTTATAAGAAATCATATAAGTTGTCACATCCTGGGTCGATAAGATAGGCAAAAAAGAACGCCACTCATGTCCCGTTAAAAGCCGGCTTGATAACCAAAAAGAAACATCATAGAGGAACAAACTCTACATGCCTATCACAATTTCCTTCAGTGGTTAACGCTTCTTTGCCAACACCGCACTGGAATTATGATACGCTTGAGAGAGAGGAACAGAGCAAAGCCAACACATTTCATCGCATGGAACATTTTCTTTTTTAGAAAGATTATTGTACCATGATCTGTTTGGCACAGTCAGGCATCACACGTACAAAAAGTATATATAAGGTAAAGTGGAATTGGTGAAACCGAACATCTATCACTCATCCCAGTTTTGCAGCGACAAGGTAACATTCATTCTCGGTTTAAGTTGCCGGCTTTCATAAACAATGGACAGTGATTTCATTATGGGGTTGGAGAAACTGACTCGTTGAAGGAGGGCAGCAGGCCAATCATCATTACAAATCAGTTCGACACCGTAGAATGATTAACTCTAAACGGTGCCGCAACAAAGCCAGTGAGTGCCAACATAACCATTGAATTGATAAATAGTAGAAAGTAGATGAGCGGTAAAATGTATTCTTCTCTGTGACCTTTTGATCAACGGAAGATCATCTCCCTAGTCAGCGTATATGAGAAAGTCAAGAAAAGAAATTTTACTCACATTGTAATTCAGGAAATTGATGGATTCAGATGTAACCACTGAATCCTCTTTGCCCACTGTGAACGAGACGGACTTGTCACCCAACGATCGTTCTGCGCCCGAGTCTTCCTCTATGTCACTATCTGGAGCGACGCGGGCCAGCACGCTCATTCGTAAATGAGCTACAAAACGTATTATATCACCCACCTCGTACCCAGGAGTCCGACGTGCCAACTCCATACATGTCAGTCCATCGCTCAGCTGCAGGAAGTCATCAGCGGCAGCTTGTTCGTTATTACATAGGACGAATTCCGAGGATTCTTCCGTCAAGTACCGACGAAACAGGCTAAATAGTGAACTTGAGAGACACCAGGCGATGATAGACCTACTTCAATCGGTGTTCTTCTCGTAGCATGCCGAATGTAATCCGTTGGGTGAATAAGTCAACAATGGACTGAGGAAGGCTGGCCAACAGGGAACGGGTTTCGCCGACCAGAACCACCCCCGAGCCGACAAGATCTACAAGCACGCGAATAGAAACGGTGCACAGGACTTTGAAAACGGGCATCCGTTGGGAAACACACAAACTGTTGATGTTAGGAAATAATCTACGTAGCCCATTCAAACCAAAAAAGGGAAGGAGGCCGAAGTGATCAAGGATAATCTTCAGGCAACGTAAATATGTATTTTACTCGATCGTTGTATTGTCCTTCTGCCCAATCATCACCCGGAAACAGGTAAGAAGCCAAGATTGCAATCAAGGAAAACTGTGACAAACGAAATATGACCAACAACAGGCCGGAAAATGTGGTCCAATGGTGAAGAGTTCTTGTTATTATCAGCCATGGAACCATAACCGGGAAGTTGACAAGGACCAGTGCGGGTCTCGAGATTTTGTTGAGTACCCACATTGCAATGAGCTTCTGGAGGCAACGGAGTCTTATTCAACAAAGGCAGAAACCAGATCCCAATAGGCAAGCCCCGGGATGCAGGAATTATCACGGGAAATTTCTAAAAAATGTAAGCTCACACCGAACGTGTTGATGCTGGATTAGATTCTTCTGAGGAACCGCATTCTCATTCAACCGGGCAGTCGGGAAGAACCAACGATGGCCTAGCTTTGGCATCATCAATAGCATCATAAGTTATTATTTTACTCCCAAGATAAACAAAACGATCGACCATACTTCCAAATAATCACCAACGAGAACAATTGTATGAAAAAATCCTCCTCAGTCTTGAAGAAACACTTTTGTATTTGAGTGAAGTGCGTATGACATGGAGCTATCTTCGACGACAAACGGATCAGCACAACTTGTTCTGCGCTTTGTACACTTCCGAGGCAATATCACTGGCAACTTTATTCCCCCTGGGGAAAAGCTCTATTCTACCACAATTTAGAAAGTGTATACAGCGGAACGACATCCGAGGTAAAGTCGGAGGGGTTTGGGAGTATAGCACGACCCTGCCGATCTCTCGTGAAGCCGATAACTATGTGTGTGCGCGCATTTGGTATGCAAAGTAAAGTAACTCACAAAGGTATTGCAGACGTCACAAAAGAATCACAAACCTTTGAGTAGCTGACTTTTAAGCAGGCAAGTCAGACGAAATGTGCCAACCGGTGCAGTCGACTTCTCCATACTTTCAATGTCATCCAATAACAAAACACATGGTGCACTGTTCTAAAATAAGAGAAACGTAGAACCCATTGAAATTCTATCCTCAACTTACCCTGGCTTGAGTGAATACATCCGTCCATGAACGAATATTGGCCGCGATTGTGCCCACCGAAATCACCAGCAATTTTGCATTAAGACTCTAAAAGAGCATAGAATGAATCCTGAAAAGAAAATCCCTGAACGCACTCCGCACACCGCCTCAATAAGCGTAGACTTCCCACAGAATGGCGGACCATTGACCAAAATAGAAGGCCACACAGGAAGTTTGATGCTACCGGTTAGATGAGCACGAATGAAACATTTCAGCTGGCGCTGTACAAATTCACGAAATGAATTTCAAAGGAAACAATCTTACTCTCAACTCCAGCGGTGTGGTGGACTGGATATCGGAAAGGCGTACGGTTGGAATGCGAACGTTAAACGTTTCGGGAACTAATCGGGACTAAATTAAAAACTAGTGGCATTACCGTTAGTGTCCAAAGCGAGTCGTGACCTCTTCCTTGGTAATATTTTTTCAGGTATGGGTAAACTTTGATCTACCATTTCCACCTCGACTGCGGTTTCATTGAGAACCATTTTAGGGGAAGACATCATTTGTTGGGCATTCACAAGTCTGAGTGCTTTAGAATTGCATGAAAAAATGGACGATGGCAAACCTTTAAAAGCGTCCTTTCTCCATGCCCTCATGTTACCCCGTTTACACGGAGTAGTGGACGCTTTAATAACGTACTCTACGAACTCGTCCACCGATGACTGATCATGTGCTTGGCTTAAGAACTGTTGCATGCAAATGAGAGTTGCAAT